ATCGCAGTATTGTCCATGTGCTGTCTAACCTAGTAGATTGGGAGCATATTCTAGATCCTTTAGACGTCAACATTGCTGCACAAACCTTTTCTCACGGTTCAGCATATGTCATTGACAGGCACGTTTCCAAAAGGATCATTCATCTCGGCTCTTGCGTCCCGTGGATGACGAAAAATCTTCGCTCGTTGAAAAGAACTAAGAAGGCTGCTCTCAGAAGATTTACTAACTTAAAATCCTTCTGAAACTTCGTAAATGAGCAACGCAGGGAAGTCGGCTTACCCTCTTCCATGATTTTTAATGGTGAAACTGCTCGCAATCAACAATATATTTGCAACCTGTTCTCAGCCAAATTTGCTAGTGTGTTTGAAGACGAGCAACTCTCCACCAATCTCATTACTTCCGCGGCCAGTTATGTTCCGCTTAGCGTTCTCGACACCACTAAAGAAATTTCTAGTGCAGCATCTAAACTTAAGACTTCAGCTAAGGCTGGAACCGATGGTGTTCCGTCGATTATTCTTAAAAAGAACATCACTTGTCTTTTAGATCCACTGCGCCGCATATTCCAGCTCTCTCTCTTTCCAGCGGCATTTTTCCGTCTTGCTGGAAGACTGCGGATATGTTTCCTGTTCATAAAAAGGGAAGCAAACGCGACGTAAACAACTACCGGGGAATCACGTCGCTGAGTGCTAATCTAATATAATATAATCGCAGCCAGTACGAGGAAGCATCCTGGAAAATCATTAAGCTAGATAAGACCTAATCATTTTTCTTGTCAACATTGATGTTTGCAGCATCTGAGATATGACACAAACATCAAAACGGCCAGGCCTACCAACAATCAATACGAAACTAACGATTTTAAATTGGCTCACCACTTTAGTAGCCTATTGGTCCCAAGCAAACGATTAACGTACCCTATTCTAGTTGAAATTCTATTACTACGCAATGTTTGTTTTGATTCGCTATGAAAGTTTGACAGATAACATCAGGGGTGTGTAGATTCATGCAGAACATGCAGGGGTGAGTGAAATATCTTGGGACTGCTTGGGACCGTTGTTCTGGTACTGAGTGAGCCAAAAATAATAATGATTTTCTTCGGGACCCAGTGGTCTTAGAGTTACCTCTATGAGCCTAGTGCGTTGCATTTGCCGCAAAGATGATTCTGTGAAAGAAATCGAGTTCAAATAAACCGTGGAGGCACCATATTCGAAGCAGTTCCTAAATCGAAGCACTACATAATGTTCGACTATTTTAAATACTTATTTTTAAAATGTTACTTCTGCAAATATTAGTTTTAGTGCTCTAGGGATGATTGTGTTACAAGGTTTTTAAAAAATATCTTGTCAAAATAGACGAGTGCGTCATCATTAAGAACGCGTCAAAAATGGTGCTGGCACGGTATATCTAAACAGCGATGCATTTCGTGAATCTTCAGGGGTGGAAGGATGCGTGGACATACCGTACCAAACGCTCCGAGATAGGTTATGAGTGAATGTAACAGTAATATGCAATGTAATGAATGCTGCCTCCCTTAGCTCAGTCGCTAAAGGCACAGCTACAAAGCAAGACCATGCTGAAGGTGGCTGGGTTCGATTCCCGGTCTGGTCTAGGAATTTTTCGGGTTGGAAAATTTCTCGACTTCCCTGGGCGTAGAAGTATGATTGGACTTGCCACACAATTATACTAATGCAAAAATGGTACAGGCATCGAAAGCTTTCAATTAATAACTGTGGAAGTGCATCTAGAACCCTAAGTTGAGAGCACGCAATAAGCTAATATGCCATACGCAATAAGCTTGAAATGCGCGGAAGAAGAAGAAGAATGAATGAATGGTATATAAAATACAGTGTAATGGAAGGATCTCACCAAATGCCTCCAATGTTAACCAAATTCCCGATTTCCATTTGACGTTTTTCAGCTGTAAGCTTCTCTCTGGCACTTGAAAGTCCTACCTTGGCAACATGATCGCACTGAACGATGGGACGTTGGGGCTGGCTTGACAGCGGCCCCAGGAACAAGCTGGGGGATATTGTAGGTCCTGCAGACCGTCGATGTACGTGCACTCACGGTGTTCCGAATGGAAGATCTTCCGTTGCTGATGATTGGCCATTTGCGCCACGAATTGAGCTGCTCGTGAAAATAACTTCTTGAATCTCGGCTTTGTGGCGACCCAGAACCGGGGAATCGAATCCAGGTCCATCTATGGTAGTTGTTGACCGGATCAGCACCCAAGTATAAATAAAACACAGGTCATCACTGGAATTTCGAATCGCGGAAAATGTGCTCCAATTACGAGACAAACTATCTCACATAAATTATTAATTTTAAATTTTTCCAAATTTTCAAACGCCTCAAAGAAAACAAACGTCATGGCCGTACGGGTCCGGGGAATCACGTCGCTGAGTGCTGTATCAAAACTTGTTGAATTGGTTGTCATATAGTCCCTACATGCGCATTGCAAGCAAGATCCAAGTATAGATCAACACGGATTAATAACTGGGCGTTTCACAACTACGAACCTGCTGGGCCTAACGTGTTACATCTCAGACAGTTTGATTGCTCGGACCTAAACGGACGTTATTTACACAGATCTTACGGCAGCCTTCGATAAGCTGAACAACGAAATTGCGATCGCTAAGCTTGATGGGTTAGGGATCGGTGGAAATCTTTTGAGATGGTTTCGTACATACCTCACGGAGCGCCAACTGACAGTAACTTTGGGTACTTGTCGCTCAGCAAGCTTCTGTGCAAAGTCCTGAAAATTTTTCTGCGCATCCGCTCACTCGCCGACTGCCGTTCTCTCCAAAATCAGATTGACATCTTTGCTTACTGGTGTAGTCTAAACCGACTGGGTTGACCCCTGCTAAGTGTACAATCATTATTTTCTCACGCAAGAAACAACCGATTATTTTCAACTACAAACTACTAGGCACGTCTATCGAACGGGTGCGTGACATACTTAGGCGTTTTTTCTGGACTCAAAGCTGACATACTCACACCATATATCGTATGTCGTCGACGAAGCATCCAGAACTATTGGTTTTTGTCTTCAAGATTACTAAGAACTTCACCGACATTTACTGCTTGAAATTACTCTATTGCTCTCTCGTACGATCTACGTTGGGATACTGCTCTGCAGTCTGGAGCCCGAACTACATTAATGGGGCCGAGCGAATTAATCTGTGCAACGACGTTTTCTTCGCTTCGCGCCCCGTAAGCTGCCTTGGAGATACCCACTTCGTCTTCCAAGCTACAAGAATCGCTGCCAATTGATCAATGTCGAGCCCTTACGTATCCGAAGAGATGTTTTCAGAGCCTTAACCGTCGCCGATACTCTGCAAGGAAGAATCGACTGCGAAGCAATTCTGCAAAAACTCGATCACTAAGCAACAGTCTAATGCTAAGACTTCCACTTCTTCGAACTAATTATAGCTTAGGGAGCGCTATTTACGGCTTGCAGCGAGTGTTCAACCAAGTAGCGTCGATGTTCGATTTTCACTTGACACGGAATATGCTTCGCTGAAGATTCTCTGCCTTTTTTGTTGACCGAAGGCGCTTGACGCCCAACAGCTAAGTGTAAAATTTTAGACTTATACATTTTTAGTAACTTGACAATGCTTTCCTTGTTATTTTCGTTTGTAACTGTAGTATATGTAGCCTGTATAATCAGTACTTTTTTTTACAATACATCATTGGGACTATTTCTAGTCTGTTGATGCAAACATAACAAATAAACTAAAAACGCATTATCATTATCTTTCAATGACATTGCAATGAAAATTTACATAAACTTACATTGTTCGACATATTCCCTACATGTATCATCCATAATAATGATCGTATCTCACTATTTTGAACTCTTTCAAAAATTTATCATTCAAACTCCGGAGTTTAAACCGGCAGTCATAAATTTATCACCATCGACTAGTACTGTTTCCCGCCACTAGTGACGCATACATTTTACTTGGATTTTACTATAGTCTGAACGTGGTCTATTATAACACTCTTTTGCTGTTATACAGTTATCTACTCTCATATAAAAAATAAGCACATATCGGACACATTTTTCGGAACACCTTGTCAACATATCACTAGTGATATCTTTTGTTCAGTGATGAAACTATATTGCTTGTGAAACGTTCGGAAGCTTATACCGCCCACGGCCAATAAGACTAACTCAGAAAGAGAGAGTCACTTTTACTCAGTTGTATGGATAAATTTCTAAAACCGTTTGTTACCCAGCTCTGAGTAATACTTAGGACAGTCATGGTAGTAGTGCCGTTATACTCCTTTAATCTAGTACGTCGATTGCGTTACTGGATTGAAGGAGTACAACCTTACTACAATCATGTCTGTCCATGATATAACCTACGTTTTTAGAAATTTATCCTTCAGTTAAAAATGAGTAAAAGTGACTCTCTCTGTGAGTTAGTCTCTTCAGCCGTGGAAAGCTTTTGTGTGAAATATTTCAACATATTAAACGTGAATCTACAAGCGTGCAAGTGCTTACTGCAAACTCCGTTAAAGCTTTTCAGCTTTATTTCAAGCATGTAAATCGTGATTGCGTGATATTGTTGCATAATTTATTCAACGATTTTTAACAGTTGAGTTGAATCGAATCACAGATAGCATATAGTCACAGACGCTTGCCAATCTATCCTTTAGACATCAGACTCAATTCTGAAAGGTCAAAAAAGTAGAAAATAAATTTGGAATTGCTTATCAAACATTTTATTTCTCAATTCAACGATTTTAATTATCACAACTCAGACAAACCTTACCGTAAAATTAAGTTTATTAAATATTGCCCAAAAATGCAAAAAGCGTGATAAAAGTGCACGTTCCCTTCAAATCATTTTGGTGTCTTCGGAACACTTATTGGACGATTAGACGGAAACTCGCACTTTTATCACACTGTGAAGTGAAAACGCGCTTATTACTCCAGTTTGGTCTGAAATGGGCAATATGTTACTTGCAAAAAAGACTGCTTTTAAAAAAAAACTGCTTATCGCCTACTTGGTTCAATAAATCCGCATTCCGATGATGCTGATGCTACCTCGTTATTATTGTTCTTCACGCTCTTGCGTCAATGCTCGACCAGTGGTCCCCAGAAAAGTCGCGAAACATTTTCCTCCCGCTCCGTAAGCAGGAAATCCCGTCCCAGTTTCAAAAATTCGTCCAACGTGACCTGCCCGTCGCCGTTCTTGTCGATCACGGCAAACGAAACGGCGGCATCCTCGTCCGTCAGGCCCAGGCAGCGGAAGAACAGCTTGAACTCCTTCAACGAAATTGATCCGGAATGGTCCTTATCGACAGCCTTGTACAGGTAGGGCAAAAATCGGTGCACCTTCTTGCGCAGGTCCTTGTCGTTGACGACGTGGTGCATGTCGGTTAGGTACTGTTCCACCGTGACCAGGTTGTACGGTGTGATTTCGCCCCACTGCTGGATCCATGTGGCCTGAGGGAAGTGAAAATGTTAGTAATTTAGTGCAAAGCTTGTAAGGCCTCAGTGGACGACAAACCTTCATAATGTCGCGGAATTCTTCCTTCTCCGCCTGATCCAAGTGACCCATGGAGGCGAATTTCTCTGTCAGAAGCATGAAATCGTCGTAGGAAATGACTCCGTCCTTGTTGACGTCCAGCAGGCCATGGAGGGTGCGCATCTTTCGTCGCCAGAATTCCGAATTTCCCTGGAGAAATGGAAGAACATTGTTCGATTAACATTTAGTAGAGGATGGATCGGGATGGGAAGAAAGGTGGTTAGACTACCCCAATTTTGCTTCCGAAAAGTGTAGGGGTAGACGGGGCAAGATGAGCACCACTTAATTGTACCATTATGAAAATGCTTTAAAAAAAAACACGTTTAATGATAAATAAGAGTTTAATTGAGCACTAGCCATCTTTTCGGAACAAAATATCATAAATATCAACCAAAATATCCTGACAAAAACTGACGCGAAAGTAGATGATTTTTTTTTATAATATTTCATATCCAGAAAATAAGCTCCCCGTAAGAGCAAACTTGTTTTGACATCATTTTTTCGAGAAACAGTTTATCTTCATACAGTGTAGTTACAAAAAAAAATACTTTTCACTAAACGTATAGTTAAATTTAAAGCATATTAGCAAATCCAGTCAGATGGGGCGAAATAAGCTCTATTTTGCGGGGCAAAACTGCCAGCGTACGTTTCAAATCATAACCTCTAAGAAAACAAAAACAAACGTCAAAGCGCAATGTTTTGATTTCGGAATTCTTTCACGTTTTGAGATGGTTCGTAACTATAAACGTATTTCGGGACGGAAACGGTGGAATTGTGTCAGCCTTCGGGCGGCAATTGAAGAAGTGAGGGCATTAGGATGTTCGGTAAACAGATCGGCCGTTAACCACGGTATCCCGCGCCAAACTCTTGCACGCCACCAGAAGACGACTGGAACGCAAAAGGATATTAACGGTTTAGGACGGTATGATACAGTATTCACCAAGGAACAGGAAGATGAGCTGGTTTATCATGTTCTACAACTGGAGAAAACGTTCCTACGGAGTAACGTCTACCGAGCTTCGTAGCCTGGCATTCCAGCTGGCAGAGCGGAATCATATACAGCATCCGTTTAATAAACAAACCGAACTAGCCGGGACCGGATTGGTTAAGTGGCTTCCGGAAGAGGCACAAAGAGCTTTCGTTGCGAACACCTGAAGCTACATCGATTGCCCGAGCTCCGGGTTTCAATCGAGTGGCCGTCAACCAGTTTTATGATATTTTGGAGGAAACACTCAGTACCGAGAAGTTTAAGGAAAATCGAATATACAATGTTAATGAGACCTCTGTCCTAACAGTGAGCATTATTATCATTTGAATTCATGGTTCCTTCTTAAATACATGACTAACATGACAAACTAAATTACAGGTTCAAACAAAGAGAAGTAAAATTATCGTTCTTCGAGGGAAACGGCAAGTTGGTAGCATCACATCATCGGAACGAAGGGTTCTGTCGACGGCAGCTATTTGTATGTCGGCGATCGGTCACTTTGTCCCTGCGATGTTGATATTTCCAAGGATGCGAATGACAGAACAACTGAAGAAAGGAGCACCAACCGGAACCATTTTTAGCTGCAATGCAACAGGATGGATGACCACAAATGATTTGTGTAAGTGGTTTGATCATTTTCTGCTGCACACTCGACCAACACCTGAAAGCCCAGTTCTACTGCTACTGGATGGCCACTGCTCTCATGTTAAGAACTTGGCGTTCATTGAGAAGGCAAGAGAGTGTAACGTTCCTGTTATTTCCTTCCCGCCGCACTGTAGCCATCGGCTTCAGCCTCTCGATATTTGCTATATGGGCTCATTGAAAACTCATTTTTCTAAGGCCATTGAGGTTTTTCTAAAGGGAAATCCTGGAAAGGCAGTGACCATAAATGATGTAAGTAGTCTTCTTGGTAAAGCGTTTCTATATTCTGAATCGATTTATTTTCACTAATGATGATTTTGTGGCATCCGATGTATCCGATATTCCAATGCCCGCAATCAACATCAATATGCTGCACGACGAACCACTGTTCTTTGGCTTTGAGCCGGAAGAAATGAAACAACCAGAAAAAAACCGAATATTGTTGCAGATGGACTGCTTGGTCAGTAAAGAAACAGAGCCAAATAGCCAACACGCCAATTTTTCACGACAGCCATTGACAACTCTAAACGAGCAATCTTAGCCTGTAACTGCATCAGAGCCAATTAACAAGAACTGTCCACTTCAAGTTTCACCTGCAATCATCAAGCCACTTCCAAAAATGGTATCAAGGAACTGTAAAAACAAGAAAAGAAAGGAAAAAGCAGCTAAAATCACCTCTTCTTATTTTCGGAGCACATTGAAGTCGTCACAAGCTGCCAAAGATATCAAGGAACTCAACAAAATCAAACGAAAATCATCTAAACTAAAAACCGAACCGAAGAGACCAAAAACTGAACCTGAATTCCACGATACGCTGTGCGACAAATGTGGTCTCAATTTCAGTATGTCCAGTGATGGTGAAAACTGGAATAAATGTACGAATTGCAATAAGTGGTATCATCTTTGCGAAGAAGGAAAATGTCCTTCATGTTGAATATTTGCTAAGTTGCATTCAGATTTGATTTCCATAATAAATACCTACTTTCGCTGCTCGTTAACAACACTATTATTATTTTTTATTAAAGAAAAATGTCTGCTGTGTTCTGTAAAATACCTACGCTCAGTTAAAATAAAATCTTCAATTAAATAAAAAAAAAGCCTTCTATATCTATATATAACGTGCTCTTCTTGCCCCGCAGGGGTGCTCATCTTGCCCCGGGGTGATTTTACTCAACAAAAAAAAGTCGTTTTTGTTATGTAATGTTTTTCAATGTTTTGTTTACGTTTTCGAACTAAAGTTACCATACGAAGCTAGACATAATATCAAACAACAACCCTGCAGCAATATCGAACAAAACAATAGTTGTACTAATGCCAAAACTTAAGCTCAACCTTAGGCTGGCCATCTTACCCCGTCTACCCCTAATTGGCTACAAAGCATCTTGAATGCGGAATTTTTCTGAAGAAGTAGAAGCGTGCCAGGTAACAATTTGATGCTTAACAAGTGTTGTTTAATCGATTTTACCCAAGTAACAATTCAAGTTGAACAGTAAAAACAGGAGCTGATTATTGTTTGATTTAGGGTGTACACAGCTCATTAACAGCAAGTAACCCCATAATTCAACCTCAATAAGCTGATCTAACAACAACAAGCCTTCTTTTAGCTTATCACTACTCCACAAATCAGCAATGCAATACACATATCTAGATAGAGCTGGAATTAGGGCGTAACAGCTTTAGTAAACAATGACTTCTCTCGATGATTTCTCGGAAGTCATCGCTCTCCTTGGCAAATCGACATCACCATAGAGTAGAGGAAGATTTCTCCTACCTTTGGTGGATTTGTTGGTTTGTGTAGGCGTGCCTTGAATTCCGAGAAATCAACAAGAGAAGTCATTGTTTACAAAGGCTGTTACGCCCTAATTCCAGCTCTATCTAGATATTTTGATAGCCTGATTTGTTAAATGTAGTCAGTGTCACTCATTGCATTTCCAGCATTTTAGGTCTTCTGAATTCACTGCCTAGCTTTCTACACGCTAACTTCTGCTTACTCACCAGGTGAGTCGATCGTACTCACTTTCGTCTGATGTATCGAGTTGTCAAAAATTGAGTAAACGAGAATTGTCAAACTGAGTAAAAGCCACTCAGTCAGCAAAATCCTGGATTTGGAAAAAATGCCAGTCATGTCGAAGGAAACCTCATAGGAAATGTTACTCCAAACCGGCTGAAATGCCTTCAGGTAAGTACGAATTGTTTAGGGAAACGGTGTTGAACCATTTTCTGCTCCGGTAGAATGAATCCGGAGCAGGAAATTTCCATTTCCTTGAATAAAAATTAAAACAAAAACCCTCCCCGCTACTGAAAATACCGGCGAGTGGACTTGACTCAGTCTACGTAAAAACGTCGTTTACTCAAAAGTGAGTCAACATAAGGCTACTCAATTTTGAGTAGCCCTTCTTGCCACTGAGATGAGTACATTCGACTCAATTTTGAGTTGACCAGAATAAGCGTGTAATCCCAAGCAACGGCAGCAGTAGATACAAGGTAGAGGAGCTTTTTAGGAATAGTTCCAGGTAGAAGTGGGCTGCGACGACATCGGAAGTATTAACATTTGTATTTCTGTGTTTTGACTGCTATATATTGCACTGAATTTTCAGACAGCATTCCAAAAATATAACTCCATTATGGCACTAAAATAACACCAATAACACCATCGAAATAAATCGCGCACTTGGGTCCACATTGTGTTAACTACACTTGAAAATGAGAGGAATGTTTTACTGTCACCAGTTGTTGTTTACAATTCTGCATTGCGGTGACGAACCAGCCCAGGGCTGGACTTTCAAGCTGTATAATACTCTTCTGGTTGCTGTTATTCTATTTAAATTTGACGTGTTTCAAGTTAATGATCATAAATTTTGCGACACATATGCTTAAGTCGTCCAGTAGATTTGATTGATGCCTATGAATCAGCGACTACCAATTCGAATCCCGAAATTCAAAGGTTATTTTTAGACTTATAATAACAATATCAATATGTAAATCCAATTAGTCAGCACCTTGTTGCAGTCCCATAAAAATAAATAAGCGGTCTTCTATTATTTATTTTTGTCTAAATAAAACTAGAATGCTGAACAAGGGTTGGAAAAGACTGTTATTTAAAAGCTTATAATATATATAATTGTTAAGCTTTTGGCTGATTAAATCTACTTTAAAAAAATCCTTGAAATTCAAGGAAGAATAAGAAGATAAGGTAGGTCGTTGGTGTTCCAGCAATAGTAGAATTCCTATAGTTGTGGTATAACAATTTTACCGGAATAAGGTCGGAACAAATGAATATTTTAACTATTGTCACACCATATTCGAATCTGGTGAGGGGGGAGACTAAAAAATAAATTCAAAAAATATTTAAACTTGAAATAAGGAGTTCACCCAAAACGTAAGAGTATATTTGAACCTAGGGGTAGGTCACTCGGCACACCAATCTTGGGTCATCTTTTTTGTCAGTGTGCCGCAAGTATGCCGATTGTGCCGGTCATAGAGCAAGCTGCAATTGTTAGTAAAATACCCATCCCGGCAA